ATAATAAATGAAAAAGTATCTACAGCTGCAGTAACAAGTAAACGAAAAATCAATCTTTCGAACAAAATAAAAATAAAAAAAAACGGAACTTCTAAAAACCAAATTTGATCAAGAACTGTAAGATTTTGTTAAATTATCCTAAAAAACTGGTAGTTTTAAGGAGAAATTTACCGGAACTCGCAAACTTCTTCGTGTTCAACTTTCTCCACGTGAGAAAAAGTCAGCGGGCAGCCAGAATTAGAGAATTTACATGGAAACATAAGAGTATTGGCAATTTTTTCCAAAATCAAATTGCGAACACTTGCTGAAAAGCATTTATCTGAAAACTTGAACGGAACTGAGGCTACTTGACAACACAAATCGCGAATTTCCATGCACTTGTTATCCAAAAAATATGACCAGCTTGAAACAAGCAACTAGTGTCCACAAAAAAAAAACTCACGAACTGGTCCTCTACAAGTAGGACAACATGTAAGCTTTGGACGGCAGTTTCCACAAACAAGATGTCCGCTTTGGCACTGAAGATATGGAGGCATCATGTAATCCAAACAAACTGGACACTCGAAGGCAGATAAAACCTAAGCAAAATTTGGCATACTTTACTTTTAAAAAAATAAAAATAAAAAAAAGTTGAATAGTAACATCTACTCCTTTCCAATCGTAACAAACTAATAAACCTCAGGATTGGGATTTTGGACTGCAGTTTGTGGAGCCGTCACTGCAAACTGAGGAGCTACTGTCTGAGTTGTAACCTGGCCCACCGCTGAACCTAAACTGGATAAAATTTCAACAAGCGTTTCAAAAGGTACGGACCTTCAGGACAAACAAACTTAAGTTTGTCAGTAAACAAATAATGAAAGTATGCTAAAATTCATCTACGGACTTTTAACATAAACAAATTATGGAATCTACACTCCAGGAAAACTGAAGGTCAGTCATCTTTACTAATCGAACTAAATTAACAAAAAAAATATAACAACAACGGTGGAATAATACTCGTTAACTATTTAAAAAGTTCTTCATGAAAAAAATAAAATTAAATATCCGTTCCTCCTCTCTCCAACAGAAACTTCTTGCTACTAGCAATAATTCTTTCAGGAATTCTTAAGAAAACTTGACGTTACTTGAGGGTGTTGATCCTTGCACGCGACCAACAGTCTTTTGCTGAGGAGTGGCTACACCCTGCTGAGGATTAAACTGTCGAGCAGTCATGGTCGAGCTACTGCTCGGCTTATAATCGGTATTCATTTCAAATTCGTCCGTCTTGAAAGGTAATTCGAAGGATATTCCAAAAGTCCTGCAGATACCAAGCAATTAAAAAGCAAGGAATCACTAAGTAAGTTAACGACGGCGCTTATTTAAGTGACATCACACAAGACTGGATTCGCAATTTGTTTTAAACAAATTATAAGCTTCCAAATAAGCTTCCAAATTCACTTTTCAACTAATATTTTCAATATCATCGTATCAACCTACAAAAAAATCATTTTCATGGTAAACTTCTATGCTGCAAAAAAGAAGAAAAAAGAAAGAAACCAAGCTACACAGAAAATCTAAATGTAAAAATTCAGAAAAACTTCAACATTCGTTCATTTAATAACAAATCACTTGGATCTAAATATAGACCCACAAGAATAAAAACAAAAAGACAAGAACGGAAATCTCACAAAACCATTAAAAAACAGATAGTCGTTTTGAGCAGAAGACTGAAATGCAGCTGTTCTCATTTCTGTTACGCGTAGCTTCAGAGGATTTTAGACGAAAAAACACATGATGCAAGGCATTTACAGACTGAAAGTGCTAAAAGAATGGGAAAAGGTTTAACAAAATTTATAATTATTCTTGAAAAATTTCAAAAAAAATTTTTTCTATACAACATAAAAGAACTCGTAAATCTAGAATCTAGCCAAACAATGTTTTGATAAAGCAAATGCGATGTATTTTTAGCCGATGGGATATCCCGTTCATTGTCTTTTTATCATCACCACTTCGGTTATTCTCAATTGAATGTTAACGTTAGAAAACATTGCGCATATTCAAAGTCTGAAAGAAGCAAAAATATAACTTTTACCGGCACCTCGATACCACACCACAGAAACATTTGAATAAACAAGCAGAAAAATTAAGAAATTACGACAAAAAAAAAATGCCATGTAGACAATCGTGCTCCTCTACCCTTTCAGATAAATAGCGTGTAATGTACTTCAAACACTCTGCGTGTTAAAACTCGGGAGATCTTCGAATATAACAGAAAGTTAAAAATAGCTACACTGCATATTCTCTTCAAACACAAACAAGTTATCTACTTAGCAAAGAAATCCAGTAGTCTTCTCAAAAGTACCAAGAAATATGTGATGTCAGTATTACTCAACGTCAATTTAAATCAAGTTTTAAATCGCAAATCAACCTAAGTATAAGAGGTCAGTCAAGTTTGTCTCAGAAATTTAAAAAAAAAAAAAAA